ATTTATAAGATAATTAGTAAATTTGTTGAAAATTGTCTAAGTCGTGGAAGGAGTTCATGTATAAAAGAAAATTTTCCTAAGTTGTTGAAGGAGTTCGTGTATTTTTTTTATATAGAAGAAGGGGCAAACGAGCATGCGGCTCACCTGATTTTAAGTGACTACCGCCGCCCATGATCAACCTCAATACCAGGAGAATTGCGGGTGCGTTGCCGGCCCTTTAAAAAGGAGTAAGCTCTTTTCTTGAAGGTCCCCAGGTCGTATCGGTCCGAAAAATCGCCGGTGGTAAACTATTCCACAGAGAGGTTGTACGTGGAAGAAATATCCTTGTGAAACGTACAGTGGCGGACCGCCAAGCATCCAGATGGTGTGGATGGTATCGGGACGTTTGACGTGTAGTGCGTTCACGAAATTTGGCGGCTGGGATTAATCCGAACAATTCCTGAGAGCACTCCCCGTGATAGATGCGATAAAATACGCAAAGAGATGCAACATCTCTTCGCACCGCCAGTGAATCGAGCCGATCGGAAAGCACTCGGTCGTCGACGATTCGAGCCGCTCTGCGCTGGATGCGGTCAAGTGGAAGAAGCTGGTACTGGGGGAGCCCCAGCCCAGAGATGGGAACAGTATTCCATGTGCGGCCGAACCTGCGCCTTGTAAAGTTGCAGGCGGTGTGCCGGCATGAAATACTGTCCCGCTCTGCTGAGCACGCCAAGCTTTTTAGAGGCCAATTTGGCCTTCCCTTCCAAGTGACCACGAAACTGCACGTCACTCGATATGTCGACGCCGAGGATTCCGATACTGGCTGAGGCAACAAGGGGAGTGCCTTGAAACTGAGGGGATACGACAAAGGGGTTCTTTTTAGCGGTTAACGCGCAAACTTGTGTCTTCTGGGGGTTAAACTGGACTAGATTTAGTCGCCCCCAATCCGAGACTCTGTCCAGCAGACACTCGACTTCAGACACAACTTTGTCCCGGCACTCGGAGACGTTTTCCCGACAAATATTGGCTCGGCCAGTGTAAAGAGCATCACCATTGCTGTCATCTGCATAGCAATGAATGTTACGGGTATGCAACGTGTCATTGATATGCAGAAGAAACAGAGTTGGCGATAGCACGCAGCCCTGTGGAACACCAGCATTAATACACTTGCAATCGGAGCTTGCACCGTCTACAACGACCTTGATGCTCCGATCTGCAAGGAAGCTGGTGATCCAATCGCACAATTTCTCGGGAAGCCCATAGGAAGGGAGCTTCGAAAGAAGCGCTTTGTGCCAAACCCGATCGAAGGCCTTCGCAATGTCCAAACTAACGGCCAATGCCTCCCCCCTTGAACTCTACTGCCTCCGCCCATCTGTGAGTTAGGTAGACCAGAAGATCACCAGCTGACCGACCACGGCGAAAACCTTATTGGCGGTCACTAATCAGCTGGTGATCTTCAAGGTACCTCATGAACTGGCAGTTTACAATAGACTCCATTGTTTTGGAGAACAAGGAGGTGATGGCGATTGGCCGGATTTTTATTATTGATTTTTATTATTATTTATTGTATAAAAGAAATTTCCTAAGTTGTGGAAAGAGTTCACGTATAAAAGAAAAGTTTCCTAAGTTATGGAAGGTGTTCATGTATAGATGTCTTGTATAGAGGAGCTGCCGGAGATACATACCTGCAGTTGTACATATATATGGGGTGGTCGGGAGCCCGACTGCCTGAAGTACTGTAGCACAATGACTAGTCCCATGTTAGGGACTTATGATAATAAACTCAATGATACGAAAGCAATATAGAAGGTCTCCATGATGAATTTACATTACAATAGTAAGGTCGTGGGTTCGAACCCTATATATTAATGACTTATGAAAGTAAGGTCTATGATACAAAAGCAATACTATAGAAGGTCTCTATGATTAATATGCATTACAATAGTAGGCTCGTGGGTTCGAATCCTATATATGAATGACTTATGAAAGTAAGGTCTATGATATAAAAGCAATACTATAGGTTTCCATGATGAATTTGCATTACAATATTAGGGTCATGGGTTCGAATCCTATATATGCATGACTTATGAAAGTAAGGTCTATGATACAAAAGTAATATTATAGGAGGTCTCCTTGATGCATAAGCATTGTATGGAGTGGTCGGGTGACCGACTGCTCCTAGTACTGTAGCAAAATTACTAGTCCTTATTAGGGACTTGAAAAGGAATATTATGGTGGCGTGTATGCTGCTTCACGAGCAATTGGTCCGAGGTAAACTTGGGCTCGCTAACAGATGTGTCCTAGACATCTCATCTTAGTGCTGGTGGTAAGCGGGTTTGTTGTAGCAATACGGCTTTCTCGTGGACATCGCACACACATACCGTTTGTGGGCGACGTCGTAGCGCATAGCGATGCGTCGTCTATCTTTCGGATTGGGATGAGTGTGTTTGGTAGCACTTTTAAGTGTAACCAGCATACTGAACTTCATGTCTTAGTGCATTAGCGCTATGATACGTGGAGTTTTATCCACTGGCGTCTTAGTGGCGTGCTACTATGATACGTTGGTGATATTTTTTATATAACAACAATAAAAACTTTGTTACCAAAATCGATAGGGGTCATGTGGGTGTGTTGTGAGGGGGCTCCATCCGTATGATAGTTGCATTGATGCTTACTGCTACTTGCGGTATTGCGTCTTGTAATGGATCTGCGACTATGCTGCGCCTGATTCGACGCATTCTTGTGGTTCTGGTCGATGGAGGTAAACAAATAACATGTTAGTGCAGGTGCTAAGCGGGTTTGTTGTAGCAATACGGCTTTCCCGTGGACATTGCACACCCATACCCATATTTGTGGGCGGCGTAGTAGCGCATAGCGATGCGTCGTCTATATTTCTGATTGGGATGATGAGTGTGTTTGGTAGCACTTTTAAGTGTAACAGGCATACTCAACTTCCTGTCTTAGTGCATTAGCGCTATGATACGTGGAGTTTTGTTCATTGGCGACTTAGTAGCGTGCTACTATGATACTTTGGTGATATTTTTATATAACAACAATAAAAACTTTGTTACCCAAATCGATAAGAGTCATGTGGATGTGTTGTGAGGGGGCGCCATCCGTATGATAGTTGCATTGATGCTTACTGCTACTTGCGGTATTGCGTCTTGTGATGGATCTGCGGGTGTGCTGCGCTTGATTCGACGCATTTTTGTGGTTCTGGTCGATGGAGGTATGCGGATGGTGATGTATGCTGGGTTGTATGGGGGACATTGGGATGGTGTAAGCCCGACGATAGTCGTATCGATGTTTGTTGCGTTCTGCAGCATTGCGTCTCTGCGATGGTTGTTTGGTGGGACGCTATTCTCAATGGCGCTCTCTGCGTCTTGGTTTGACTCACGCCTGAGTAGCTTTGCCCAAGTCGGGTCCCTTCATTACGGGGCTGCAGACTGTCTGCCCTCCACGATGTTTTATATAACAACATAATATTATATCTCTGTAACTTTCCCACCTTTGAATTATTGAAGCCAACTTGTTGGTGGGTGAGACAAACATGATCGAAAATGCATTTACTCAACGTCAGTGACACAAACCCTTTCTGATGGCGAATTATTACTCATATCTTATAACTGCCTTTTGGCTAAATCTGCCGTTGTATTGGTTGGTGGAGCATATGTGTCGACCTCATGCGGGTGGTAGCTGGCGGGAGGATCTGAGGAGACTCTCAAAGCTGCGGCCGAAAGTCGCACAACGTGGGACCCCATTCCTTTGAAGTGAGCGATAGACTCATGACACGCTCTGCGGCTGATAGCCGTGCTGATCATGCAATTGGTGGTGATGCCATACAATTACATCACGTCTGCAGGAGCGGTGGTCTGGCTGGTGGTGGCGCTCACGGAGGGTTTACGGCCAGTGTGCCTATTTGCCTAAACCGTGTGACGTACATTCACTGTGGCTGGATTCGTTCGTATTCTGTTTGGCGTTTAGGCGCATTGACATGCGCGACTTCGGTCGATGTTTGTGCTTACGCACTAACAAGGGGCCAAGCCTCTTTTACTGGTTCACCAGTTATTTTGCTGTGGACTACGGTCCAGTTCCCGAATTAGCGTTCCCTTCGGGAGAAGTGCATCAAAATGGTTGCAGCGTGCACGGCGTGTGTGGGGCCGTGTGCCTCCCCTACATTTTTAAATAAATGTAGGAGAGCGAAGCCCTTGTATCGGGTATTTTGTATAAATATATTTTGAGCCTTTTCCGAGCGGGAAGGGATAAATAATAATAAATTAATAATGTAAACCTGATACAAGTGGAACGTTTTATGTTCCTAACCTTTCTCGAGCCCTGTCTTCGTGAACGGAGTTCACTTAGCTTATAAGGCACTACCAACAGCTTTCAATTTCTCTAGTGAATATTCATTCTTCCAAAAGACAACTAAAAGAACTACTAAACAAATACAACGTAAATAAGGGTCCTAACCAAGTCGATCACGCCAAAATATTACAAACGGCATATTACTAAACCTTTAGAAAGATCATTTAGAAAGATCAAAACAAATTTTATTAATCTTGGTCACAAATATATATATATATATATATATATATATATATATATATATATATATATATATATATATATATATATATATATAATTATTATGTAAAGGGAAATATAATACATTTAGTATTTTTATATATTTATTATTATGAGAGAGGGGGGGGGAAGCGTTACACAATGTACATAAGGATCTATTTTGCAAATAGCATTTAAAGCATCGGTTGATAGGACCTTTGATACCACATTCATCCATCGCACGCAGTAGTACCTCGTGTTCCATATGTATTTAATTTAAGGGTCTTTAATAGAAAAACAACTTTACAAATTCTGTTTGAAATTTATTTTTTATTGTTTACTTACATCTTCCGTTTCTTCTTTGTGCAGTATCAACAGTGGAAGTAGATGCAGTGCTTGGGCGAACTGCATCATTACCATGCGATGTCACACCTGATACAAATGAAGACCGTGTCTACATGGTTCTTTGGTTTCGGAAAAACGGCGGGAAACCTATTTACAGGTAATTCCTACACTTTGTACCTATTAAAACTGATTTATTTATGATTATAATAATAGAAATACACTATTCTATAAAACTCGTCGGAATATCAACGGACCTAGCTAAGATGTGATTTTCCCGGGATGCACCGCACCTAGGCTTGTGTTCGCCTATTGGAATGACGTCATTTGACAGGTTCACACATATTTCCGTAGATCTGCAGTAGTTTTTTTTATAATTTATTGTTATATTACGACTGAATTTGCTACTATATTTTGTATTTGTTTTACATCAATCGAAAGGAACATTAATCAACCAATTTTAGCTGTTGATTTATAGCGTCTCATCAAGATTAGAAAACATAACGACAAGTGCTTATTTAATTAAGATTGTTAAGACAGGCCTAATGAACTGTTCGCGTTGCCTTAAACGGATGAACAGAAGCCGAGTGGAGTCTATCCAATTAGCTTTATAAAGTACACCTACAAGAAAATACACTTAAGACGTTTCACGCAGGTCGTTAACGCTATCATACTTAACGGTTTCTGACGCTCCGTGAAGTCACTAATTTGATGCAATTCGCAATCACAGGGGCTCAAAGAGTCCTTGAAATACAAGCGTAAATGAATTTAATAAATAAGATGAGATAGGTGATGAAATTTTATATAATACCTTTTCGTAATAAAATGTAATGTAATGTAGTAAAATATAAAAGCGTGTAGTGGTGGTTGATAATATACACTATCCCATATTTTCGCGTGGGTGACGTAAGAGGCGAAAGAGGGAGATAGACAGAAGATGGACATCAGCATTTTCGTGATAACAGAAATTATACAGTATACAAATTGTGGTTGCTAACTCACTCGGCAAGCGTTTTATTTTTTATAGAAGAGGGGGCAAACGAGCATGTGGCTCACCTGATATTAAGTGACTACCGCCGCCCATGATCAACCGCAACACTAGGGGAATTGCAGGTGCGTTGCCGGCCCTTTAGAAAGGAGTAAGCTCTTTTCTTGAAGGTCCCCAGGTCGTGTCGGTCCAGAAAAAGTCGCCGGTGGTAAACTATTCTACAGAGAGGTTGTACGCGGAAGAAAACTCCTTTTGAAACGTACAGTGTTGGACCGCAGGGCATACAGATGGTGTGGATGGTATCGGGATATTTGCCGTGTAGTACGTTCACGGAATTTAGCAGCTGGGATTAATCAGAACAATTCCTCAGAGCACTCACCATGGTATATGCGAAAGAAAATGCAAAGAGATGCAACATCTCTTTGCAGCGCCAGTGAATCGAGCCAATCCGAAAGCACTCGGTCATCGACGATTCGAGCCGCTCTGCGCTGGATGCGTTCAAGTGGAAGGAGCTGGTACTGGGGAGCCCCAGCCCAGAGATGGGAACAGTATTCCATGTGCGGCCGAACCTGCGCCTTGTAAAGTTGCAGGCGGTGTGCCGGCATGAAATACTGTCCCACTTTGCTGAGCACGCCAAACTTTTTAGAGGCCAAATTGGTCTTCTCTTTCAAGTGACTACGAAACTGCACGTCACTCGATATGTCGACGCCGAGGATTCCAATACTGGCTGAGGCAACAAGGGGAGTGCCTTGAAACTGAGGAGATACGACAAAGAGGTTCTTTTTAGCGGTTAACGCGCAAACTTGTGTCTTCTGGGGGTTAAACTGGACTAGATTTAGTCGCCCCCAATCCAAGATTCTGTTCAGCAAAGACTCGACTTCAGTTACAAGTTTGTCCCGGTACTCGGAGATGTTTTCCCGAGCAATATTGGCACGGCCGGTGTAAAGAGCATCACCAGTGCTATCATCTGCATAGCAATGAATTTTAAGGGTTTATAACATATCATTGATATGCAGAAGGAACAGCGTTGGCGATAGCACACAGCCTTGTGGAACACCAGCATTAATAGGCTTATAATCGGAGCTTGCACCGTCTACAACGACCTAGATGCTCCGATCTGCAAGAAAGCTGGTGATCCAATCGCACAATTTCTCGGGAATGCCATCGCACAATTCCTCAGGAAGGGAGCTTCGAAAGAAGCGCTTTGTGCCAAACCCGATCGAAGGCCTTCGCAATGTTCAAACTAATGGCCAATGCCTCCCCCTTGGACTCTACTGCCTCCGCCCATCTATGAGTTAGGTAGACCAGAAGATCACCAGCTGATCGACCACGGCGAAAACCGTATTGGCAATCAATAATCAGCTGGTGATCCTCATGGTATCTTATGAGCTGGCAGCTTACAACAGAATCCATTGTTTTGGAGAACAAGGAGGTGATAGCGATAGACCGTTAGTTGGAGGGGTCTGAGCAGTCGACTTTTTTAAGGATTAGGTGGACAAAAGCCGTCTTCCATGATTGTGGGACTACGCCTAGAGGGGTACCGAAAAAGACGCGTTAAAACCGGTGCCAACTCTAGAGTACACGTCCTCAGCACAATTGGGGGAATTCCGTCAGGCCCACTCGACTTTTAGATGTCCAGGGAGAGGAGTGCTTTGAGAACCGAGTGCTGTGTGAACTGCACTTCCGTCATGGAACACTCACACCGCGGGATGGTCGGTGGTGTACTCCCCCCGTCATTGAGAGTCGAGTTGGACGTAAAGAAAAAGCCTAGTAGATCGGCTTTCTCCTTTGCGGTATGGGCCATTGAGTCGTCCTCCCTGTGCAGAGATGGACGAAAGGGCTTACAGAAATTCCCCTGGACAGCCTTGGCGAGAGACCAGAATGCACGGGTTCCAGAAGGAAGGCGAACTAGTTTCTCGCCAATTCTGCCTATGTGCTCTGACTTTGCCTTGGCAATGACTCTTTTGAAGGACCTAGAGGCGGGATTATACTTCTTTTTTATAGCGCTGGTATTTACATCCCGGGACGTTGATGCGTCAGCCCAGGCTTGGTAGCACTCCTGCTTATAGCATGATGCTATTTTACAGGGGCGACCAAACCATGGCTGAGATTTGCCTCCAATGGGCACCACAGAGGAAGGAATAAAAAGTTCCATACCCTGAAGTACCACATCAGCGACAGAATCCGCAACAACGTTGGGATCGTCCGGCTATAAGCAAACCTGCCCCCAAGGGTAGGATGCAAAGAAAGACCGCATCCCATCCCAATCGCCTGACCTATAGTGCCAAACACGGCGGCAGACTGCAGAATGCAACGGCGATTTCAGCGTGAGTGGCACCACACTCCGGACAAGACAATGGGTCGAGGAGCCTAAAGGGGCGTCGACGGAAATCTGGTATCCGTCCGGGTGAGTGGTCAGCAGAAGGTCCATCAGGGAAGGTACATCATCCTCCACATCTGGAATCCGCGTAGGCGAAGTAACCAGTTGTGTCAGACCATATGCCAAGGCAAAATCATGAACAGATCTCCCCGCATGATCGATTACACGTGAACCAAGCCATTCGGCGTTACGGGCGTTAAAGTCGCCGAGGATCACGATCTCTGCGGAGTGGATCTGCTGTAGCAACGAATCCGTAGCCATTCGGACGTGGTCGAAGAGTCGGTCTGTTTCGGCATTACCGCCGTGGGGCCTATAGAGGCACCAGTAGACGCGCGGATGTTCGTCGCTGTCTACACGTAGCCAAAGGATGGACAGGACCGAACCTTCAAAACTGCCGAGGCGTCGCGAACAGATGTCCTCTCTGACGAAAACGCAAACTCCAACCCGAGGCACAAAGGAGTGTTCCAGTTTGTAACCCGGGTAGAAGAGATACGAGACATCCGCCGGAGAGGACACCTGCGTCTCGGTCAGAAAGAGCAGAGCCGGTTTCGTCGTCTCTAGATGGTAGTGGACGGCGTTTAGGTTACAGTGATATTGCAGAAATTCACGGATGGCGTGGCAGGGGTCGCCTTGGTCTTTTTGCTCCGTTTGCCCCGAGCTGTTGCAGTCTTGAGTGGAATTTTGCTCTCCCCCCCAGAATACGCGGGGCAGCCTGAGCACCCACGCTCAGCAGTGGAGAAACATGGTCGTGGATGCTTAGCGAAGGATACTCCAGGGGTGCTGGTACCCTCCTGGGGTAGTCTACCATCATTTAATTCCAATAATGTTGATAGGGGGGGAGGGGTATTTGGGCCTCCGGCCATCTGCACTCACCAGACGAAACGCGGAAGCAGAGCTTCCACTTCACGCTGGTATTCTGTGAGGTCGTAGTACCACCCCGGTTTGAGCCGGCCCATACGTGCAACAGCAAAGCTGCTCCGTGGCTCTACCAATGTTAAAACTGCGTGGCAACTATAGCAAACATCTCCCCCATGGACAACGACACAAACTAACAGCCCCAGTTCCCGACGGCCCCACTTTTCCTGGCTACGGTGGTGACAATTGTGACGGCGAGGCAGGGGGGTGCTAAGAATCTCCGGTGGAGCTTCGGTTGTCACCTTAGGCCACTCAACCTGGCAACATATAACACACGCACCCTGAGGATTCACGAGAAGATCCTGGAACTGGCAGAAAGGATAGTATGAGCTGGCATATTATAGGATTATCCGAGGTCAGAATAAAGGGGGAGAACATGGTAATCTTCGAATGAAGCAAATTGTTCTATCACCGGGAGGATAACCCGGTGCCGGTCCCAATGAGGTGTCGGATTTTCGCTCACAAGTTTCTCGTCAACGACGCTGTAAAGATTGAGAGTGTGTCGACGTGGGTTGCATACTTGATACTCAGAATCACCAAACGGTATTCGCTGAGGGTTATAGAAGTTTACGCACCAAACTCGGCAAATCTCGATGATGGGGTGTAGGAAATTTATGAGGATATATTTGAAGCCATGCATTCCTCCAAAACACACTACACGGCGTTAAAGGGAGACTTCAACGTAAAACTAGGCAAAAGAAAGAACAGTGAGCTGAAAATAGGTAAATTTGAAATAGGGTAACGAAACCCAAGGGGCAGACTATATGGAGAAAAAAGGACTCTATATGATAAACTATTTGTTCCAAAAGCGGCCCCACAGGAAGGAGACCTGGTCGCGCCCCGAATGTTCGATCGAAAATGAGATTAGCTTCATTAT